CGGGTGGGCGGATGGCGGCAGTACGGCGGGAGGAAGAAGATAGGTTGGGTGAAGGAAGTGCAACAACAGTTGGTTGTGGCGCATGGCTGCTGCTTTTACATCTCCAGTGGATGAAGATGTATATTTGCATCACGAAGTGTTGTACTCCCTCCGTTCCTAAATATTTGTCTTTCTAGCCATCTCAAATGAACTACAACATACGGATGTATGTAGACATGTTTTAAATTGTAGATTCACTCATTTTGCTCCGTATGTAGTCATTTGTTGAAATCTCTAGAAAAACAATTATTTAGGAACGAAGGGAGTATTTTACATCTTCAGAAGGCAGAGATGTATTTCTTTTTTCATCTACATCATTTTTGGAGGGACATTTTTGGGCCTCGAAGTATTGCATCCACGTCTTCCATTGCAGATGCTCTTATGTAGAAGCTCGTCAATGAATAAGCTGACTCTCTCGAAGCCTCCGTGCCGCACTGACCGACTGACTCACTGTCACTCAGCTCTCGCTTCCCCCAAGCCCCAACACAGCGTCCGCCTCCATGGATCCCCGCGGCGGCGACTTCCCGTGCATCGTCCAAGCCCTACCCTCCGTGGATCCGAACGAAGCCGCCTCCGACTCGCCCTGCATCGTCCAGGCCCTAGCGGCGTCCCCCTCGCCGTCCCCTTCCAAAGCCCTCGCCCTCACGCCCGCGGCCAGAGACCAGCCGCCGCCCGCCTTCAAATCCTCCAGGCCCCCGAGCCCCCGCCGCACGCGCTCCGGCCGCGCGCCCGAGTGGACCGCCGCCGAGACCCTCGCGCTCGTCGCCGCCGTCGCCGCCGTGGACGACGACGGCTGGGCCCGCTCCGTCTCCGCCTTCCAGAAGTGGGCCATCGTCGCCGAGAACATCGCCTTCTCCGATGCCGGTGGGGCGCCCTCGAGGCGCAGGGGGAGGGCGGCCGGCGAGTGCAAGCGGAGGTGGGAGGCGCTCGTGGCGGAGTACGGGGCGGTGCGCCGCTGGGAGGGGCGGACCGGGGGGAGTTACTGGCGCATGAGCGCCGCGGCCAGGAGGAAGGCCGGGCTCCCCGCGGAGTTCGACGCCGAGGTGTATGGCATCATGGACGCGCTGATCCGGGTCGACGAGGCGCTCCTTGGCGGCGCCGGGGGAGGAGGGGGCGACGAGGGCTTGGTCAGTGCTAATGGTGGTGCTGGTGATACTGCTGAGGTGGGAGAGGAAGAGGGTGGCGATGCTGGGGTTGAAGAAGAGGAGGAGGCGGATGGTGACGGGAGTGAGGAGGAGATGCAGGTGGATGATGAAAATGCTGCGAATGCTTCTGATGATTTGGGTACAATTCTTCACTCATTTTCCTTTACATGTTCGCATGTGGGTATGAATCGGCTAGATGTCTTCAGTTGGGTGATGGTGTGCTCTGAGTATGATATGTTGAGGATACTTAATGGTTTAGTAGTTAAAGCTTTGGCCAGTGGAGCATTTTGATATGATGTGGTAGAATTGCTTTCACTCTTTCGTTGTATCCACTCCAGTGGCGGTTCTTCATGCTTGGCTGGGCTCGCATATATCATTGATTTTGTCCATGACAATCCACAATCCTGTTTTTGTTACTTCAAGCGTGTAGGTTTTGTACATCGAGCAAAAAGGCTGTGCCAAGAGTGTAAGAGGAATGTGAAGCCGTTTGATTGACATCTGATTCTGATCCAACGGCGAATGGATCCCCGACATCAATTAACATCTAGGAGTACAGATCTGTGCGTTGGTACACAATAATAAAATTGTATTGCTGCCATGTTGAGCGAAAGAAAAAGACCGAAGGATGGTGTGGAATCATGTGATTCAGATCCCATCCAACGATGAACAGGTGGTGGTCACCCGTTGACATCTTTATACTCCCTCCGCTCCTAAATATTTGTCTTTCTAGAGATTTCAATAAGTGACTAGATACGGAGCAAAATGAGCAAATCTACACTCTAAAATATGTCTATATACATCCATACGTGGTAGTCCATTTGAAATCTCTAAAAAGACAAATATTTAGGAACGGAGGGAGTAGAATTTAACATATCCATATTTTAACATGTCCTAAAGAAAGAAAAAATGTTACCATTTTGCTTATTTATGAATATCAAGCAGTTCTCTCATCGGAAGGGGAGCCTTGGCGCAGTGGTAAAGCTGCTGCCTTGTGACCATGAGGTCACGGGTTCAAGTCCTGGAAACAGCCTCTTACAGAAATGTAGGGAAAGGCTGCGTACTATAGACCCAAAGTGGTCGGACCCTTCCCCGGACCCTGCGCAAGCGGGAGCTACATGCACCGGGCTGCCCAAGCTGTTCTCTCATCATTGTATTATTTCGATGGAATGAGGTGCTATTTCACAATGCTCCTAACGGAATATGCTTTGCTTCGATAAAACATGATATGTCATCTCATTATTAAGAAGTGGTAAGCCTGTATTCCGTAATTGGTTCTAGGTTATAAATGCTGTAACTATAGAGCGATTCCAAATCTACTGTGTTTGTAGCGATCTGTGTGAAGCATTTGATTCACTATTTGTCGTAGAAATTGTTAGTACGTGCTGTTTCCTTGTGTAGGTCATGCAGGTGGATTTGTATTAGTTGCATCCCATTTTCTATCAAAATTGCGTCTTTTTATTGCATTGGCGTTGCTATTAGATCAATAGCTTGCATAAATACCCGCGTTTTGTATTTATGAATCTCCAAAGCAGATCCTATGAACACACATGATGATGATACATGTTTAGTTAATCTCGTCTCTGGATGAATTATTACCGAAATCCCTGATCCCTACCATGTACTGCCAGTCAATGTGAATGTTTTTGTTTCATGTTACATTTTGATTGCGGCTAACTTCATGCCTCTGTGCTATTTTGTCCGCAAGGGTGTGAGATGGAGACCGACAACGAACCAAAGAAAAGCCAAGCCGACGCATGGGAGTTAGCCAACAGGCTAAACGAGAACGCTCAGCATATTCATATGATACTAAGTGGAGACGCTGATGAAGATGGTGGCCACCACAATGCTCCTGCCTATGCCGTCTCACCTGATGCAATGGAGACCACTCGGCAGAAAGCCGACGAGCTGATCAAGTCGCTAGGTGGGCTCGTGAGCTACTTGAACCAGTTCACCGATCTGATCAAGGAAAACGGGATCGAGGATGTCGTCGGTGTGAACTGACTGATGGTAGGCGGGTTTCCTTTGAACTTTGAAGGGTCGAATCATGCCAGCCTGATCGTCCGTCTCTGTCCCTCTCCGTGTCCTCTCTCTCTCTCTCTCTCTTCTATGTAAATATGAGGGCTATGTAGGATGCTTCTAATCAAATGATGTAGGTTTGTAGCAGACACCTGTATGTGCGTTGGCGCCACTATCTGTTTCACCCCCCTGCCTGATGCTTACAGAGACATTGGCTGGATCAGTTTATCTGCTGTTCTGTGTGATTTCTCTTCAATTGGTCCTAGGACACCGTACGAGATTGTTTTTTCTCTCTCTTTGAAACAGAGGCATAAGATTTGCCTCATCCAGTAAATAAGAAGAGAACAGAGTTTTACAAGTGACCCACAATCACGGCAGAAAAACTACTCCCACTTAGCACCCGCGGTAACCCAAAGATTAGCCTTTTGAGGAGGATTGGTGGTGGTGCACTTTTGTGGCAGAACACACGAGTCTTCATATTGTCCAAGAGACGAGCATGGTAAGGGAGGCCATAGCTCGCCTATTAGGGTTTGCCATGTTGGTTCTCTCACCCCACCATTTCATGACCCCACCATTTCATGACGGATCCCTTAAGGTGCCAAGTGGAGGTGTCCATTCCATCATTCCATGATGGATCCCTCAAGGTGCCAAGTGGAGTTGTCCATGTGCAAAAACTTGAACTTCTAAATGACCAATCTCCATAGCTTAATAGTGTAGAGGCACTTGACGAAGAGGTAAACGCCCGTTTCTTGCCCTCTTTTGCAAAGAGGGCAAATGCCACAATTTGCCAAACCATTCCGCTCTAAATAAGAGACGGTCCAAATCCGGTCTTGCAAAGTCAACCATGCGAAGAATTTAACCTTTGAAGGGGCCCAAACTTTTCAAACCATGGAGTCCATAGGGATAATGTTAATATAAGGAATTTCACCTTGTATGCGGTGGCCGCTGACTAGAGCCCCTCCATGGAGTGTTTCCAAACAATGTCATCTTCGGCTTGTTCGTCAAGTTGGAAGTCATGCACAAGCATCCAGAGTGAAAAATTCCTGGATGTGGTCTCCAGAGATGTCGGTGTCATGGTTGATCTTTAACATCCAAGCATTCGCATTGAGAGCTTCACACACTTTCTAGTTCTTTCTCCTCGAGGCCTCATAAATTAGTGGGGCAATATCCTTGGGCTTGCACCCAAGTAGCCAAGGAGAGTCCCAAAAATATGTTTTTGCACCATTGCCGAGGCATAGAAGAAATAAAGATCTTCCTCGGTGCATGGGTTACCAAACCCCACACATAGCTTGTGAGGCTCCTTCCATTCATACAAGGCCATCTTAGCTGCAAGGCGTGAGAAATTTTGCTGGTGTTGAAAACTGTAGGCCTTCGTACTCTGGTGAATGAAACCCCTTTTGAACAAAGTATGTAGAAATGTTTGGTCAAGAAGATTCTAAAATAAAACTTGTCTCCTTACAATGAACAAGCCAATATCCTGGATGGTTATACGGCCATCCCAAATGCTTTCATGCAAGGAAGAAATATCTTGGATGGGGTAGTCATTCTTCATGAGGATGTACACGAGATGCACCAGAATAACATGAGTGGGGTAGTTTTAAAAATTGACTTCGAAAAAGCATATGACAAAAGCAAATGGTCATTTTTCCAATGGACCCTTAGGTAGAATGAAAGTTTTCTTCGAGAAATGGCACGAGTAGATCCAAACTTTCCTAACTGGAGGCGGTGCGTCTAGTAAAGTCAATGATGATGTTGGCTATTACTTCCAAACGAAATAGGGATTACGTACGGTCATGGTGACCCTTTGTCTCCAATGCTATTCTATTTTTTTGCAGACATGTTAGCTATTCTAATTGAACGTGTCAAACATGATGACCAAATTGCAGGAGTAGTGCCACACCTTATGGATTGGAGCCTCTCAGTTCTGCAACACGCCAATGATATGATTATTTTACGAAACATTATCTTGACAAGGTTAGAAATCTTAAACTTTATCTTTTAGCTTTTGCGAAGATGACAAGCCTTAAAAATTAACTTTCACAAAAGTGAATTGTTCTATTTTATAGAAGCAATGAGACGACCACATAATATGTTGATCCATTTGGTTGGGCACAAGGTCAATTATCCAATTATATATTTAGGAATTTCGATTCATTATTGGTGCCTCACTAATGCAGAGTGGAACCATGTTGAAGAACACTTAGAGAAACATCTAAGAAGTTGGAAATACAAGTTGCTCTCAGTTGTAGGACGATTGGTCTTGGTCAATTATGTTCTCACAAACATGGTTCTCTATATGCTCTCAATTTTTCAACTACCAACAAAGGGTGCTGGAAAAGCTGGATTATTGCATATTCAGATTCTTTTGGCTGGGAGATAATGAAAACAAACAATACATAAGCTAGCCAAATGGAGCATGATTTGTCAACCAAAAGACCATGAAGGTTTAGATATTCAGTACCTACAAGTAAAAATAATGGCTTACTTAGTAAATGACTGTTCAAGCTCCTTATTGAGGATGGTGTCTAGCGAAACCTCCCACGCAACAAGTATTTAGGCCCAAAAGTTATGTCTCGGTATGTTGAATGCCTGGAGAGACACATCTTGGGGCAGGTCTGATGGCGGCAAAGAAATATTTTTTTTCTCCTGTGGACCTTTTGCAATAATGGACGGCTTTGAGATCAACTTTTGAAAGGATAAGTGGCTGGGAAACACCACTCCCCGGAAATATCTAGCCTTGTACCACATTGTACGCGATAAGAATGATACACCCGCTGGTGCTTATTAGCTTCTCCCGGTAGGAGATATCCTTTAAGCAAAATTTAGCCAACCGCGTATTATGTCATGACAACATCTTCTATCTTATTTGGATTCGATTAACTAGACACAAGGACAAATGTGTTTCACTAAAATCTAACTATAACTGGGTCCTTCATAATTGACTATATGTATCATGCACTTTTGCACTTGGAGATTGGACAATAATAATCAAATTTGAAAAATTGAAGATACCACTAAAATTTAAGATTTTTTATGTAGTATCTTTGAAGAGGTGTTGTGCTCACAAAGGGCACTTCGCCCACCACAACCGACAATGAAGTAAGAAGTGTAGTTTTTGCGCTCACGAGAGACAATCAAACAACTCTCTACTTTCAAGGCAAGCGCGTGTTCTATATGACCAGACATTCTACTAGCGTTCAATTTATATCCATCTATAAGTGTTGCCAATATATAAGGTCACTGGCTTGACGAATAGCTAAAAAGTTTAGTACACTAGGGTGAAGCATCTGCCTTACTATGATCATTTATTTATATAGAGATGATTTTGTTTCTAATGACAATAGTTTTTCCTTGCACATTATTTATCACTGTATGCATTGGAGCAGTTGGCAGAGATGGCAATGTGCATGGTATTTTCGGTCTCATATGAGATATGACTTTAGTTTTGCAACTGTCTCTTTTTTATGTAGAGATCGGATGTCATTCCTTATACTTTCCAGGAGTTTGACGCTATATTATGAGTTAATAAAACACACTTATAGAAAGGCAAAAACGCCAAGAGAAAGCTAATGTTTCATCTTCATCCTGTTCTAGCTTACAAGTAACCACCAAACTAATGGATCGTCATCTCCTCTCCAGTTCAACCCGGCCAACCCACAAAGCAAATGGCAGCAACAAATCATTTCAGTTGGTCAATTATGTTCTCACAAACATGGTTCTCTATATGCTCTCAATTTTTCAACTACCAAAAAAGGGTCCTGCAAAGGCTGGATTATTACATATTCAGATTCTTTTGGAGGGAGATAATGAAAACAAACAATACATAGGCTAGCTAAATGGAGCATGGTTTGTCGACCAAAAGACCATGAAGGTACTCAGTACCTACAGGTAAAACATAATGGCTTACTTAGTAAATGACGGTTCAAGCTCCTTTTGAGGATGATGTTTAGCAAAACATCCCACGCAACAAGTATTTAGGCCCAAAAGTTGTGTCTCGACATGTTGAATGCCTGGAGAGAGACATCTTCGGGAAGGTCTGATGGCGGCAAACAAATATTTTTGTTCTCCTTTGGACCTTTTGCAATAATGGACGTCTTTGAGATCAACTTTTGAAAGGATAAGTGGATGGGAAACATCAATCTCCGGTAATATCTAGCCTTGTACCACATTGTACGCGATAAGAATGATACACCCGCTGGTGCTTAGCTCCTCCCAGTAGGAGATATCCTTTAAGCAAAATTTAGCCAACCACGTATTATGTCATGACAGCATCTTCTATTTTATTTGAATTCGATTATCTAGACACAAGGACAGATGTGTTTCACTGAAATCTAACTATAAATGGGTCCTTCGTAATCGACTATATGCATCGTGCACTTTTGCACTTGGAGATGGGACAATAATAATCAAATTTGAAAAATTGAAGATAACACTAAAATTTAAGATTTTTATGTAGTATCTTCGAAGAGGTGTTGTGCTCACAAAGGGCACTTTGCTCGCCACAACCGACAATGAAGTAAGAAGTGTAGTTTTTGCGCTCACGAGAGACAATCAAATAACTCTCTACTTTCAATGCAAGTGCGTGTTCTATATGACCAGACATTCTAGTAGCGTTCAATTTATATCCATTTATAAGTGTTGCCAATATATAAGGTCACTGGCTTGACGAATAGCTAAAAGTTTAGTACGCTAGGGTGAAGCATCTGACTTACTATGATCATTTATCTATATAGGGATGACTTTGTTTCTAATGACAAAAGTTTTTCCTTGTATATTATTTATCACTGTATGCACTGGAGCAGTTGGCAGAGATGGCAATGGACATAGTATGGGCGGGTACAACCTCCTTCTGCCCAAACTCATACTCACAGAAACTGGATAGCACCACCAGCCTCCTTGAATTAGACATAGTTTCGGTCTCATATGAGATATGACTTTAGTTTTGCCACTGTTTCTTTTTTATGTAGAGGTCGGATGTCATTCCTTATGCTTTGGAGGAGTTTGACGCTATATTATGAGTTAATAAAACACAGATATAGAAAGGCAAAAACGCCAAGAGAAAGCTAATGTTTCATCTTCATCCTGTTCTAGCTTACAAGTAACCACCAAACTAAGAGCATTACTAATAGAACCCTTAAACCCTCAAATCCTTAAAGCAGTTTTAAGGGTTTAGGGGTACTACTAGAAATGCTCTAACGGATCGTCGCCTCCTCTCCGGTTCAACCCGGCCAACCCACAAGGCCCGCAAATGGCAGCAGCAAATCATTTCAGTTGGAAGAATCGCTCTTCTCCCGCCTATTCTTAGCCCCTCAGGCGCCGCGACCTCACTGGGCCCCTTGGCTCCCGACCACCTCCTTCCTCCCTCCCCTTTGGCCATGCGCATGCAAAACGCCGTAGCCGCCCAGCCCGACCCCATCTCCCCCGCCACACGTACGTGCGGTCCTGATCCGCGCCACCGCCGTACCCGCGCGCGCGCGCAAGAAGCCCGGCGGTCGAGCGGACGAACGGACGAACGAGCCGAGTGCGGCAAGCGTGCGCACGCCCGTCGATCGCCGCTGGCGCCATGGCGCGGCTGCGGCCGCCCGGACACCTCCGCCTCGCCTTCTACGTCGCCGTCGTCGTCGGTGTCGGCCTCTGCGCCCCCGCCGCCGTCCTCGTCGCGGCGATCGTCGGGGACAAGACGGAAGGCGAGGTGCTGGTGGCGTTCCGCGACAAGCTGCGGGCTTCGGACGGCTCGCCGCCGGGGCCGCTGCGGTCGTGGGGCACGCCGGGCCCGTGCCACGGCAACCATTCCTCCTGGTACGGCGTCTCCTGCCACGGCAACGGCAGCGTGCAGGGCCTGCAGCTGGAGCGCCTCGGCCTGGCCGGCGGCGCGCCGGACGTCGGCTCGCTGGCCGTGCTCCCGGGCCTCCGCGTCATCAGCCTGGCCGACAACGCGCTCACGGGCCCCTTCCCCAACGTGTCGACGCTGGGCGTGCTCAAGATGCTCTACCTCTCCCGGAACCGCTTCTCCGGCGAGATCCCGGCCGACACGTTCCTGCCCATGCGGGGGCTCCGGAAGCTGCACCTCCACCGGAACGACTTCTCCGGCCGCGTCCCCAGCTCCATCACGTCGCCGCGGCTGCTGGAGCTGACCCTCGCCAACAACCGCTTTGAAGGCCAGCTCCCGGACTTCTCCCAGCCGGAGCTCAGGTTCGTCGACGTCTCCAACAACAACCTCTCCGGCCCCATCCCCGCCGGCCTCGGCCGCTTCAACGCCACCATGTTCCGAGGTATTTATTTAGTCAAATCAGAATTTTTTGCAATGTTACTAGTGCCGATCGTGCGTGTAAATGGAGCGCCCGACTGAATAATTATTGTTTATTAAGTGCGTGACACACGTTGTTGATCGTGAATTGATTTGGGAAAAGTGTGCGTTTATCTGCAGGCAACAAATTCCTGTGTGGCAAGCCAACGGACGTGGTCTGCGAATCCGCGTCGTCGCCCGCCGGCGGCATGTCCACCTTCATGAGGATTGTCATTTTGCTCATCATCCTCGGCGTGCTGCTCGCCGCCGCGGGCATTGCCATGGGCGTCCTGGGCCGCCGGCGTCGTCGGCGGCGACGCGCGAAGCGGACTGACGGCTGCGTGACCCTCCCCAATGGCGAGGTGACGCCGTCCAACCCGGTCCTGGACACCGCGCCGGCCGTCTCCATCAGCCAGGCTACCGTCATCGCCCCCGCGGCCGCGTCCACGTCGGGCGGCCCGGCAAAGCGCGGGGGGCGGCGCGACGAGCACGGGCGGCTGGTGTTCATCCAGGAGAGCCGCGTGAGGTTCGAGATCGAGGACCTGCTCCGGGCGTCGGCGGAGGTGCTGGGCAGCGGCAACTTCGGGTCGTCGTACAAGGCGACGCTCCAGGAAGGCCCCGAGGTGGTGGTGAAGCGGTTCAAGGACATGAACGGCGTCGGCCGCGAGGACTTCTCGGAGCACATGCGCCGCCTCGGCCGCCTCTCCCACCCCAACCTCGTCCCCCTCGTCGCCTACCTCTACAAGAAAGAAGAGAAGCTCCTCATCACCGATTTCGTGATCAATGGCAGCCTCGCCCAGCTCCTCCACGGTACGCAAGAAAGTCAAATCTTCACTTTCTGCGGCATCATCATCGTACAGATCATGAACAATGGAGGAAGCTGATTGAGATTTGTTATGACTGATACAGGGAATCGTGGATCGATGTTGGACTGGAGGAAGAGGCTTCGGATCGTCAAGGGGGCGGCGCGTGGGCTGGCGCACCTGTACGAAGAGCTGCCGATGCTGTCGGTGCCGCACGGGCACCTCAAGTCGTCCAACGTGCTGCTCGACGGCACGTTCCAGCCGGCGCTCTCCGACTACGCGCTGGTCCCGGTGCTGACGGCGACGCACGCGGCGCAGGTGATGATGGCGTACAAGGCGCCCGAGTGCGTGGGGTCGCACGGGAAGCCGTCCAGGAAGAGCGACGTGTGGAGCCTCGGGATCCTCACCCTCGAGGTGCTCACCGGCAAGTTCCCGGCCTGTCGGCAGGGGCGGCAGGGCACCAGCGACCTCGCCGGGTGGGTGAACTCCGTCATCACGGAGGAGCGCACCGGCGAGGTGTTCGACAAGGACATGTCCGGCGGCAAGGGCAACGAGGAGGAGATGCTCAAGCTCCTCCAGGTGGCGCTCACCTGCTGCGAGGCCGACATCGACAAGAGGTTGGACCTCAAGTCGGCCCTCGCGGGCATCGAGGAGATCAGGGAGCCGGAGCCTGAATCCTCGTCGACGTTGACGGGCGAGGGAGAATCGAAATCATAACTACGATCGGGCAAACAAGTTCAAAACAACCCACGCACTGATCCGTAATATCAAATCAACCGAGACGATTCAGGAACGATCGATCGATCGATCGGATGCACTGAATTGCATGGCATGGTGGAACTCTGAGGCACGGGCGGGATCGACGGTTCGTGATGAGCTTAATTCGATGCGTCGACCATCCATCTGATGAAGAACATACGTACATTTGAGCCGGGGTGGTTGATGGAATTCATGACTAATTTTGAACGTGTAAATTAAACCCATCTAGCATAATTTGAGTTAAAGAGAACAAGAAGGAAAAAGGATGCGGCGTAGTCTGTTAACAGAGTACATTGGTTCTTGCTTGTTTTTCCGTGTTCTTTTATTTTTCGCGAATACGCAAAGCTTGCTTATCGTTCATTGATAGAAGAAGATAGAACGAGTATAAGTAGAGGAACATCACACAACACAACTAAAGAAATATGGGATGCTTCGCTAAGCAAAGACTACACAACTAAACCCACAAAGCCCCGGACAAGAGAAGCAGATCAAACCAACAAAACAGTCCAACATCGTCAAAGCCAGCACCATAATTTACGCTATCAAGTTTAAGCACTTGTTTGACTGGGACTTGTGAGCCTTCTGAGTGTTGACACGTGCAGGGGTGCACATTTGCATGGTAACTATAGGCTTTCGATTGAAATTTTGTTAACTTGCATATCGGTTTGTGCGTGTGGTTAGCAATTTTTGGTGCATGTGGGCAATCATTTTTGTCAGGCGGTGGCGTGCATCTGCGTCTCCCTCAAAGACTCCAGTCTCCGTACGAAATATGGATCGCTGCCGCTTTGGTGGGCTTCTCCAGAATTGCCCTTGCTGGATGTTTCCAGACTTTTTTTCTTTCTTTTCTTGGATGGACCTTGCATGCGGTGGTGGTCTGGGGCTTTATCTGAGTTTGCCCTATGTGTTTATCTTTTGTTGGACAGCCACTGATGCATACATGGGTGTATGGGCGGTTGGTGTCGACATGCTGTCCGGCCGCTTTGTTCATTGATTCTGGATTGCCGGTTGCCTTCTTCTTAGATGTGCATCCTTCGTGTACAATTAAGGGGGTCCGCAAGATGCAGCGAGCAACAGCAGCACAAGAGGGCAGCGGCGGCAGGATGCCCTCACCTCATGTCTCTCCTTCCCTCCGTCTTTCTCCTTGACGATTCCTTTTTCCTGATCGCTCCATGTCCTGCCGAATTTATGGTCCGTCGCAGGTGCAGAGATCAGGCAACACGACGGCGCCACATCAGTTGCAATCGGGCACAAGCAGCGATGTCGCATAAGGGGTGGCAGTATATGACACGCCGTCCGTCGTTGGAGGGTGGCTTGACGAGGACATCAATACTATTGTTACACCTACAACCCCTGCTACTACACATACTGGACCAATTACTAGAGCCCGCGCATGTCAATTAAATTACCAGGTACTTTCGTTTCTTGATAATGATTCTAATGTTCATGAGAATATGATGCTACCTAAATTGGATACATTTGTTTTACTTATAAGTGAAGGGCCTAGCTAGGAGAAGGATGAACATTGGAGTAAGAACAAGCATGGAGATGATGGCATGTGCAAGGGAAACAAGAACGGAGTTTCAAGTGATGATTTCAGGACTTTGAAGCCATCGTAATGAGTGATTGAAGGCTTGGACGAAATATACAAGATGCCACTTCACAAATTTCGTCCAGAGGCTATTATAGGTGCTGCGTCACCTTATTATTGGGTCAGGCCCGTGTAATTTCGAAATACATAAGTATAGGCTGTTTTTAGAGTCTGTATGTGTGGGGAAATAAGAGATAGGGTTGGTTTCGGACCCCTGTCCCAAGGGCCACTAAATTTCCCCCTCTTTCTCCATATATACAGCCCTTAGGGCGTCGTTTAGACTTTGGGTTTTGTTTAGATTAAAAGTTCGCCATAGTGCAACTTCGCGTACTTCGTTTGTGTTGGACGACCAAATCAAGGCGTCACAGAACCCCACTTGATCAATAAAGCTTTCCTCTTTTATTCGCAATATCCAGATTGCAATTTCAGTTTCTTGCTTGTTCTTCGTTTGCTTGCAGGAAATAGACCCTCATGGTCAGGTTGATCGTGCTCTGGCGTGGTCAATAACCTCTCGCAGTTGGTTTAACGATTGCTAAGGCGCGACGTCCTCGCACGTTCGTAGCCGGATCGTCAAAGTCTACTCCACCATAAAAGATAGCACCATCTCATCGAAAGACGGGACACCTTTGTCTCTATCAAGTGGTATCAGATTTCTAGGTTGCTCGGTGAGATTTTACAGTTTTTCGTAGTTTAGATCGAGTCCGTTCTTCATACCTACATTCCACGAAAAAGCCAAAAAAAATTAGGGTTAGTTCATCATATCCGAACCAATCTGAGCCTTTGCATAATCTTTTTAGTGTTTTGCATTGTTGAATTTGCGGTTGCATCGCCGTGTCTAGTTGCTGGTCTTAGTGTCTAGTCTTTTAGAGTTTCGAGTTCTGTTCACAAGTTGTCACGCCGCCACCGGATCATCGTCATCACCGCTGCCATATACCTCCATCATCGTCACCGTTGCCATATACCACCATCGTCATCACCGCTGCCATATACCACATATCCACCGCCATCACGATAATCCGAGTCCGCCTCCATCACAGATTCACCACCAGTCCGTGTTCCACCGCCCTACATATATCTTCCACAAGTCTGAGTTTCCACTAGATTCATCTCGCCACCAGTCCTAGTCCTAGGTATCAATATGAGGTTTTAGGACAAAGATTGAATACAAGAGATGAACTAGGGTTTGAGATGAGATGGTGTTGGTGAATATGTTGATGAAGATTGGTCTTCTCATGACGAGAGGATCATTGGTGATGTCGATGGCTTCGATTTCCCCCTCTCGGAAGGAAGTTTCCCCGGCGGAATCGCTCCACCAGAGAACAAAAGTGCTCCTGCCCAGGTTCCACCTCAAGACGGCGGCGCTTCGTCCTGAAAATATACTCTTAAGTTTTTCTAGGGAAAATAACATCTTATAGGAGAAGATGAGCCCCAGGGGCCTACTGGTGGAGCCACGAGCTCACAGAGTGCGCCCACTGAGCTCATCGCTCCCTGGTGCTCTTGGCCCGCCGTGGAACATCTTGGTGCTCTTGGCCCGCCGCCAAAAATCCATAAAAATTAGGAAGTCCTAAGAAATTTGTGTACTAATCCATAGCAGAAAGAATCAGATCAAAATCTTGTTTCTGTGAATTATCAAAACTAATTTACTGGACGCAAAAGTTTCTGGTTTTCAGTAGGATCAACACAACTATCACAGTAAGCTATCCTAAAGGCTTTACTTGGCACTTTATTGAAACAAAAGCTATAAAACACGATTGCTACAGTAGCATAATCATGTGAATACACAAAAATAGTACGTATAAATGTTGGGTTGTCTCCCAACAAGTGCTTTTATTTAATGCCTTTTTAGCTAGGCATGATGATCATAATGATGCTCACATAAAAGATAAGAATTGAAACATAATGGGAGCATCATGAAGCATATGACTAGAACATTTAAGTCTAACCCACTTCCTATGCATAGGGATTTTGTGAGAAAACAACTTACGGGAACAAGAATCAACTATCATAGGAAAGCAAAACAAGCATAGCTTTAAGATTTTCAACACATAGAGAGGAAACTTGATATTGTTATAATTCCAACAAGCATATATCCCTCCCTCATAATTATTTTCAGTAGAATCATGAATGAATTCAACAATATAACTATCACATAAAGCATTCTTTTCATGATCTACAAGCATAAAAAATTTATGACTCTCCACATAAGCAAATTTCTTGTCATGAATAGTAGTGGGAGCAAGCTCAAGAAAATAACTATCATGTGAGGTATAATCCAGTTGAAAATTAAAATCAAGATGACAAGTTTCACGGTTATAATTATTCTTTATAGCATACATGTCATCACAATAATCATCATAGATAGAAACTTTGTTCTCATAATCAACTAGGACCTCTTCCGAAATAGTGGATTCATCACTAAATAAAGTCATGACCTCTCCAAATCCACTTTCATATTTATCACAATAAGATTCAACACCCTCCAAAATAGTGGGATCATTACTTCTAAAGTTGACACTCTTCCAAACCCACTTTCATCAATATAATCATCATAAATAGGAGGCATGCTATCATCAAAGTAAATTTGCTCATCAAAACTTGGGGGACTAAAAATATCATCTACATAAAACATAGCATCCCCAAGCTTATGGCTTTGCATATCATTAGCATCATGGATATTCAAGGAATTCATACTGACAACATTGCAATCATGCTCATCATACAAAGATTTAGTGCCAACATTTTCATGCATTCTTCTTCTAACACTTTGGCACAATTTTCCTTTCCATCATTTTCACAAAAGATATTAGAAAGATGAAGCATATGAGGCACCCTCAATTCCATTTTTTTGTAGTTTTCTTTCATAAACTAAACTAGTGATAAAACAAGAAACTAAAAGATTCGATTGCAAGATCTAAAGATATACCTTCAAGCACTAACCTCCCCGGCAACGGCGCCAGAAAAGAGCTTGATGTCTACTATGCAACCTTCTTCTTGTAGACGTTGTAGGGCCTCCAAGTGCAAGAGGTTTGTAGGATAGTAGCAAATTTCCCTCAAGTGGATGACCTAAAGTTTATCAATCCGTGGGAGGCATAGGATGAAGATGGTCTCTCTCAAACAACCCTGCAACCAAATAACAAAGAGTCTCTTGTGTCCCTGACACACCCAATACAATGGTAAATTGTATAGGTGCACTAGTTCGGCGAAGAGATGGTGATACAAGTGCAATATGGATGGTAGATATAGGTTTTTGTAATATGAAAATATATAAATAGCAACGTAACTAGTAACAAAGTCAGCAAAAACGGTATTGCAATCCTTCAAAACAAGGCCTAGGGTTCATACTTTCACTAGTGCAAGTTCTCTCAACAAT